CCCGATAATTACGATCTCCTGATAAATGATAAAGTTAAGAATTTTTGCTCATACTTTATAACACTAGTGGGGTCGTGGGGTCAAAAATGTGTGGCGCAACTTATCCTCAATGACCTTTTGAACGGTTGAATCAATGTCACCCATACTTTGCTCAGCAGTTTGTATCAATTTGTCTTAACTTAATCATATTTTCCCACAACAATTGAGGCTAGATTTAAAAACTTTTCTTCATTAATATAGAAGAAATACTACAAATCTCCTTCACGCGGAAAATGGAATTGTTCACAGCACTTCCCACTTCTCACACAAATTTTGCATACTCATACGGCTTACGTCACAGCTCATCTATGACCCTTTGTAATGGCCAAACTAGGCTAGTAACAAGAAATTAATTTTAGAGTGAACACTTTTTTTGCACTAAAAGTTTTCAAAACATGCGTTCAATAGATCTAAAGATAATCTCGTGATTAGAAAAAAAAAAAAGAAAAAAAGACAGACTTGCTTTTAAAAGCGGTATTGTCCCAGCTGTAAACCTTTTAAAATCAGTAGAAACTACCCACTGTTTTTTAAATTTGTATTTTTACTAAGAAATTTTCTGGAATAGAGGTAACAGGTGTTTACAAAAATTTAAGACAAATATTGATGCAAGTCACTGTGCAAAAGCTGTTCGATAGCAGAGGAGAGATTTGATTAGTTCCATAAACATAATAGTTATTGAGATTAGAAGAAGTAGGTTGGAATCGCTTTTAAAAGTCCTATTGTCCCAGCTCATAGTATGTAAACCTTTTTAATTAATCTGTAGAAACCACCGACTGGGTTTTTTAAATAGTATTTTAAAAATAATTTTCAAGAATAATAAGCGGCGCAAAAGTGTTAAAAAATATATTCGTCTATGGAGACAAATTGATATAAGTCATTGTGCAAAAGTTGGAGAGTCTATGTTTGATAGTTGAGGAAATATTTGACAATAAGTTGCGCCTCGAGTTTTTGACAGCACTATTGTATTTACCTCTTCCGTAATATCGCCGAACACACAGTCTCTCATTGCACACATGGTCAAAGGGAAATGACTGATGTAAATCATGGAGGAGAAAAAATATCATGGGTTATCGTACTTAGACCCTTAATGATTGTTATGTGGCGAGTTTCACTTCGGCCACCAGACGAACTTTGCTCCGGAATGAGATACGTTTATCTGTCTGTCAATACATCCATCTATCTCTCTATTTATCTAGACCTAGAGAAAAAGAGTGTGAGAGAGAGAAAGTGAAAGAGAGAAAGAGAAAGCGTCTCTTTCTGCCTCAGTGTTTGGATAAGCCCGCGACAGGTGCGCGTCCAATGGGCAGCGGGCTGCTCGTGACGTCAGAACACAGTCAATGGCGGAGAGAACAACACACAATTCGAAAACAATGGAAGTTAGCAGCGAACTGACAGGATTGTAGATCTGCACACAGTTTACCGGTATGCAACAAATGTGTTTACATCCTCTTGACCGTGAGATCATCTTATTTATGAACTTCAAACTGAATACGCCTAAAATGTTTAGTGGGTCTTTGAATTTAGGGCTTTGTGTGGAATTTGAGTCTCCCCTCTGACCCCTGTTATCGATAAGTTTAGGTTACTAAAGAAGGGGAATGTGTGGTGTGTGCTTTCGTTATTCTATTTGATTTCTTTTCTTTTGGTGCAACATGGCACCTAGATCTAGAAATCGAACAATTTTTGGAAGTCATTAGAACGCCTAAAGTCGAAGATTCACTAGATTCTAGATCTATGTTTTCATTTCAATCTGATTTCAAACCGTCAACTTCAAATTTCATTCATTGTGAATCGTGACTTCACGTCAGCCATCAGACGTGAGACTGTCTCGCAGGCGTGAATGGCAGTGTTAGTCCTGCCATGTTTTTTTTTTTTTACCCTTTCAAATCGATCTCTAGATTACCTTAAGTCTAGTGTGAATTAGAGAACCTAGCCCAACTCTCTGTCTCTGCTTTTCTTGTCCTTGATGAAATTGTGCTTTTAACTTTCACTTTCACTTCACAAAAACTTGAAATCTGAGGGTCTGAGGACTGAGCCCTCGTCCTGCGGGGGCCGGGTTTATGTCGCCCGATGAGCTTCAGCACCTCGCCTTGGTTCTGGTCCCGCGTCAGTCTGGTCCCTGGCTCAGCGCACGCGTGCCGAGCATCATCTCCCGTTCAATTCGGGTCCCGCGTCAGATCCGCATTCACGCAGCTGAGACGTAGCTCAAGTGTATGTGTACGTCAGTCTGCTTGAGTATGTGCGTTTGTGGCCTTCTTCTAGAACCCCCTGCGTTAGTTCGTAACCGAGGTATACGTCTCATTCAAAACAAGCCAAGTTGGTAGATGTTCATCCAATAAAATTATAGAACAAATTGACCCACCTAGACATGAGGAGCTCGAAAGGATCTAGAAAATCTAGATCTAGTCAGGAAACAAGACTCCATTTTTCTACAAAATCTTTCAAATGAGCCTGATTTTGTATGAAATGATACTACCTGTTAAAAAATATGCAGGTATTTAAGAGAACAATTTGAGTGCAAAACATTAGGAAATTTTCCTAGAGATATAATCTTTTTATCCCCTTTCGAACCCCAGGCCCAGGTCATTCAATAACGACAAGAGCGTCTAAAAAAGTTATTTGAATGTTCGTAACAACTCGTAATATGTGTCTTTATCAGCTTATGAGAGGGGGTTATTCATGTGTTCGTAACACTTTAATAAAATTTTATAGAAAGCTACAGATAGAGCATTATTTTCATCATCTATTAACACACTCCCACGGTATTCATGGCGAAAACACATGTTTCCAGGCGCGCTCGCTGTACACCAACATAGACCTGCATGTTTGCCGACAATCGTCTGAAATCTGACAATCGTGACCCGACCCGCGAGCCGGCCGATGCTATCGCTAGGCGGCACTAGGCCCACCTATTAGTCAACAATGTGTGCGAAGTGCGAGGCCTGGCCGACTGCCAGCGTCCCCTTTTTCTCCTGTCGACACTTTCGTTTTCATGCTGACTGCCGACGTTGGCGTTTCCGACATAATTGTCTGAACCTGAGTAGAAAAACGAAATATATGAAAAAGGACGACGACCTAAATTATCTACTTTTCAGTACTTTCAGTTTCCCGATGTGGGTTCATTCAAGTCTTACTCACTTGTTCTACTAAATCTACCTAGATCTAGATTTGTGGTTGGTGGGTGCTATAATGGTGTGGTTTGAAAAAAAACTACTTTGTTATCAAACGTCTATTGTCCTTATTAAGTCTCTCCTCCTTTTTTTTGTGTGTTTGTTACTGTCTTGTAACACCTCAAATCTTCAGTGCAAGGCTTGACTTATATGACCTTACTGGTTTTATTTTGCAAGTCCTGTTAAAGAACTCTTACTGAGACTAAATTTTAAAAGGCTTGACTAGATTAACTAATGTAGAAAGTTAAGTATGAATAGAGAGAAGACTTATTTTACGTATCTTTACCTTTGCAGAATCTGTTGTGTCAACTTCTCTACCCTTGGACTAGATCTGTGTGTGTGCGTCTCAAGTGATTGGGATCGGATGCTGGGAGGGAAAGTAAGGCAGTCTCCACCTATGAATAAACGTGAAATGTGTGCAAGTCAAATGTGAGAACAAAATGCCTCCTGTTTCAATTTTGAGGAAACGGACTCAATGAAGAGATTCCACGGACGTACTGAGGGATGTGTGTAGTTTGCTACCAGTGAGGATTTAAATTCTCTCTGATTGAAGATTGAAGAGTGGATTGTCTGGATGATTGCGATGTCTAGTTTGTGCTGTGGACAGCTGTGCCAAGGCCATGTCTTCCTATGATGAGTTACTGAAACAGGTGAGTGACCATTGAGTGACCATGTGGTCCTATGATGACTCGAGTTAAACTGAAACCGGTGAGCAGAGAAATATCATCACATCTTGTTTCCTTTGTTCTTCATGATTTTTTAACCTTCTTTTTCATTTCATTTTATTTTTCCTCCTCTTTCTTTCTCTTCTAATTCCAGATCACACCATCATCATCTTGTGACTTCATAAATAAGTGCTCAACACTATTTGTTCCGTTTACTTTTGTAATCGGAATTAACATCAATGAAGTTACAAGATGACGATATTATAAATGGTGATCTGGGAACAGAAGAGAGAGAAAGAGGACTTATGAAATGAAATGAAAAAGGATTATAAATTATTAAATCTTTGTCTCTGATTGTTTTTGGGTACCATAGAAAGCACGGTTTGAATGATGCAATCTGTCTTTAAATATTTTGTTTGTTTGTTTGTTAGTTTGTTATTGAGTTTATTGAGTGCCATTTTGCCCACTGTATTGTCCATATAACTCCGCAACTTACAACAGACATCAGCAATCATGGCTCGCGCGCTCATATCATCATATATCTTGTATGCAGTTGTGAGTGTTGTAAAACTTACTTCTACTAGCTCACCAATGAATACATAATTTCTAAGTATTATAAAAGGCTAGTAGTGGGTTTTTAAATACTTTTTTCCCATAGTGAATGAAGGTAATCAGGGTAATCAGAGGCTTTAATTAGATTAAACCGAGTCGCATGCATGCACTAATTGGTTTAATGTCTCCACCAGGTGGCGTCTCTGAAGTCGGAGAACTGCCAGCTCCGTCGGGAGCTCAAGGACAACTCGAGTCACCTGACCAAACTGGAAAACGACGCATGCAACATGAAAGATGTTCTCTCCCACATTGAGGTCTTTACATGCTCTGTTCATTAGATGTCCTCTGCCACATTGAGGTCTTTACTTTACTTTACAAACTGCCATGTTCTGTTCACTAGATGTCCTCTCCCACATTGAGGTCTTTACTTTACTTTACAAACTGCCATGTTCTGTTCACTAGATGTCCTCTCCCACAATGAGGTCTTTACAAACTGCCATGTTCTGTTCACTAGATGTCCTCTCCCACAATGAGGTCTTTACAAACTGCCATGTTCTGTTCACTAGATGTCCTCTCCCACAATGAGGTCTTTACAAACTGCCATGTTCTGTTCACTAGATGTCCTCTCCCACAATGAGGTCTTTACAAACTGCCATGCTCTGTTCACTAGATGTCCTCTCCCACAATGAGGTCTTTACAAACTGCCATGCTCTGTTCACTAGATGTCCTCTCCCACAATGAGGTCTTTACAAACTGCCATGTTCTGTTCCCTAGATGTCCTCTCCCACAATGAGGTCTTTACAAACTGCCATGTTCTGTTCACTAGATGTCCTCTCCCACAATGAGGTCTTTACAAACTGCCATGCTCTGTTCATTAGATGTCCTCTCCCACAATGAGGTCTTTACAAACTGATATGTTCTGTTCACTAGATGTCCTCTCCCACAATGAGGTCTTTACAAACTGCCATGTTCTGTTCACTAGATGTCCTCTCCCACAATGAGGTCTTTACAAACTGCCATGCTCTGTTCACTAGATGTCCTCTCCCACAATCACAATGAGGTCTTTACAAACTGCCATGTTCTGTTCACTAGATGTCCTCTCCCACAATGAGGTCTTTACAAACTGCCATGCTCTGTTCACTAGATGTCCTCTCCCACAATGAGGTCTTTACAAACTGCCATGTTCTGTTCATTAGATGTCCTCTCCCACAATGAGGTCTTTACAAACTGCCATGTTCTGTTCATTAGATGTTGTCTGCCACAATGAGGTCTTTACAAACTGCCATGATGCTCTGTTTTTATATTATTTTTTTTGGGGGGGGGGGAGCCTGCCTCCTAAATGGTCTAAATTATATTGATGCGGTTGTAAAAACACATTACCTACATTTTAAAAACAAGGGGGAAACTATTTTAACCCAAAATCCCTATATGGTTTCCATGGTTACACTTACCATTTACAATCAGATTTATTTTTGCTCAAAGTTCAAAGATGCTCTATCTTTAAATTGTGGGTGGATGGCGGGTGCTCTGTTGTAGTTTGCTTTTTCTTTCTTATCAAACATCTATTGTCCTTATAATCTCCTCTTTCTTTTTGGTTTGTTACGCTCATGTAACACTTGTAATCTTCAGCACTTATATTCTTGTAATATCTTATTGTGTTTGCAAGTGAGGTACATTAAAAAAAACTAAAACGTGGGTGGTAGATGCGTGCTCTGTGTTGTGGTTTGCTTCTTCTTTCCTATCAAACATCTATGGTCTTTATCTCCCCTCCTTTTCTCTGTTTTGTTACTCTCTTGTAACACCTCTAATCTTTTACTGAAACCAACTCTAAAATTGTAAACTTTTTTTTTTGTCATGTGTGCCCCCAGGTGACATTTGCGGGGGCGAGCGGTGGGGATCGCACCGAGGCCGGGGAGGAGAGAGCCGTGGACAGCGAGGATTATGGGAAGGAGACGGGAGCCGAAGATCTGAATGGTAAGGAAAATATAACGTGTTTGATGGAGGAGATTAGACATCATCATCACTGCGTGGGTGGTTGGCGGGTGGTTTGGTGTGGTTTGCTCCTTCTTTCCTACCAAACGTCTATCATCCTGATATCTCCTCCTTTTTTTATGTTTGTTACTCCCTTGTAACACCTCTAATCTTCGGCACTTATATGACCTTATTGTGTTGCAAGTGCCGTAAAACTCTTACTCTAAAACTAAAACATCATCACTGCCTCTCTTGCCCTGAGTCGGGGTATAGGCCACAGACAAACACTTTCCACCTTTCTCTCTATCCTGGGATAGCCTCTCGATGTTATTTCATGTCTCCCCACTTTTCTGTACATCTTTCTCTGTGACTCTGCTCCAGGTTCAACGCTGCCTTCCCCTTGATCTCTTACCCTGTGGGTTCCAGTCCAATACTTTCCTTGTTATTCCGCTGCCTGGCTGTGTGAAAGTATGTCCGTTCCGTTGTTCCATTTGCCACCTGGGAAAAGAGGGTCTAAGACAAAAAGAGCTTGTTGCTCACTCCCTCTCTCTCTCACTCCCTCTCTCTCTCTCTTTTACTCTCCATTTTCTAGTCATTCTCTTTATCTTTCTCAATGTTTCTTTCTCTTTTTCTCTGTCTGTCTGTCTGTCTGTCTGTCTGTCTGTCTGTCTGTCTGTCTCTGTCTGTCTGTCTGTCTGTCTGTCTGTC